AATCTAAAAATATACAGAGGAAGACAGAAGAGTAGGATTAGCACCTACTTTTATGGGGGCAATTACCCACATCTACCTATTTGGTTATTTGTTTGAAATAGTTCTAAATATTTCGAATTGTGAAAGAAACACATGGGTAGTTCAAATTTATTCTAAAGAAAGAGATCTTTGTACAGTCACATTCAAAATGTTTCAGAAATATATAAATGAATTCAAATATATTCAAATTTTCATTTTCAAATTTTTGAAAAATTTAGAACTTTTGTTACTGGGGTATTCTTTTCTTCTAAATAATTCAAACGTATTAGAAACATGGAGAAAAAACCCACTCGGTGACGCGGAATGGACTCTACCATAAGTTACAAAAAAAATTAATAAAAACTATACCAACGTCGTAGAATGCCAAAATCAAACGAATAAAGACGAAATTGTAAAGAAATGAACTTGAAGACTAGATTATTCGCCAAACCATATTCTGTGCCATTTGCTCAACCCTCATGACCAAGTAGATTTCATAATGAAAAGAACTTTTTTTTTTGCAAAACTTTATTTTTATTCGCACGCCCGCATCAGTTTTGGGGCTCCCGGAGGATGTCATCCATATAATCAAATCAACATGGCCTTACATAAAATACAATTGAGATTATGGAAAAAGTTTCAGGCTATCTAGAACACCGCATTCAAATTAGAATATATTTTAGAGTAAGAAAATGACAAGTCAGTTGTGTAAGTATAATAAAGAGATGAAGAACTGCTGTTTTTAGACAATATTTTATTAGATGTCATAATATTCCTTGTTTTCCTGAATGCATAAAGACACCACTCCTTATAACTCCACTCTTACTTTTTATCATTATCTGTTCAGCAGTCTGTAAACTTAAATTAAATGATAATGTCTTTGAATTTATTCTTTTTTTATGACTCTTGTTCTTCAGGGGCTGCATGACAACCCAAAGCTGTGTGCACTGTATGTAGTAAAAGGATCATCAGATGGTATGTATACATCTATTCTGTATCTGTCTGGTAACATTCACCAACTTTACATTAAATACATGTACTGTAATTCACTTTATGTTCATGGTAGCAAAAGTTCACTCAGACAAAAATGAAGGTGTTCTTGGAGATATACTAGTATCATGTTCACAGTTGTGGCAGGTGCAGAAAAAAGAAAGTTGGTGATCCATTTTTTAATTTCTCTAAAAATTCTGGTCGATCTCATCAACCTTTGTCTTCCTGAGACTTTTGATGCACTCCTGACGTCATCATGCTTCTGCCTTCCGCAGAGTCAGCATAGTAGATCATGCATCTGATGAAGGTTGATGAAAGCGACTGAAAATTTATGGTGAATTCTTGTGTTCGAATAACACAACTGCCTATTATTTGTAAATTACTTAATTTCATTCCCCAGATGTTCCCAAATTGCCTCCCATCCCGGGAATGGAACCAGACGAAGAAGAGGAGTTGTCCAGGGACAAACCAGACAAGGCACGCAGAACCTCGGGACCAAAAACACCCAATCCATACGACAGCGATGAAAGTAGCACCATGTTCCCCATCCTAATGGCCATCGGAGTGTTCCTCCCAACCTTGTTTTGTCTGTGTAGGTTATGACACGCCCACGAACAGCTATTCATGTGATGTATATTTCATATTCAATTGTACCACTGTGCGACTGTGTATCAACATACATACTGGTAGTGACTTACCAAACATGATTTTGTAAATGAAATCGGAGTGGAAATTATTGAGTGGCTTAGATATCTCATACTTCATGTAGGACTGCTGCAGATAGAAATTCTTTTCAGACTTATCCTAACCCCAGAGACTAGCATATTGGGCATACTTGTACATTATAAACATTTCCTGAAAATAGTCAAAGGTATTATTTATTGAACAAAGACGTTTAGACAAAAAATACACTGTTCTGGTGTTAGGAACATCAAACCTTACAGGCCTCCCTTCCAGCTGATGTTTTCTGTGGTTTCTATGGATTACATGGCAGAAATCAAGAACTGTATTGTTTGTTGTAAACATCTTGGTTAGTTTAATAATACCTATCAATACCTACTTATGTTTCAGGAACCGTTGAGTTTAATATATGGTCTTTTATGCAGATGCATGTAATGGGGATTTGTTCAGCTGCTTTCATAGAAAGAAGGAGGGACAAAGATGATTTTATTAAGACCATGAAATTGAAGAAGGAGAGTCTTCTTCAGGTAAAGGCTTCCTTTATCAGATTATTAACATATCTTAATCTGGTAATAACTCAAGAACTTCATTTTTTCTTACACCTGAGGAGGGTCTCAACTGTGGTCTGCTTTACTTTGAAGAGAAAAATTAGGTCTAAAATGTAATGAAGGAACATCCAGATAAACAATATTCAAAGACAAGTAAAACTCTACTACTGCTTACTGGATAAATTAGTGAGACTACTTCCAGACGTTTCAAGTGACAACCGGCACTCTTCTTTAGCATCACTAAATGAACTGAAAGAACCAGTCAACACTAATTACATTAAATATGAGGAACTGGAAAAAGCAGTTTTTCATGACAAAGACTCGTAAGTGTCACTGTTCTGCAATGATAGGAACTATTACTGTCCCTTGGGTGGTGGCAGGGGGGGTTCTATGTACTCAAGAGTTCTCCTCATTTAGATAAAAGTGACACAAGTCTTTGACTTTGTCATGTTCAACTATTTTTTCCAGTTCCTTCACATGTTATATACATGTAGTTAGTGGTGCATACCTAAACCCACATTTAGGTTCAGGTCCGGATTCAAGTCCAGAGGTTTAGGTTCGTCCGGACCTAAACCCATGGCATATACAAAATTGCATGTTGGCAACCTTGCATTGTTGTCTGGGTGAAACTTTGGCCACATAACATGGAGGCCAGTACTTGTCGATGCCCGATGGCAATGTTTTCTTCATTTTGCAGCAAAGATTTTGCAATCTACGGAAGGTTTTAGGTGGTTTGGAAAGAAAAGGGGTATGTGAAATGATCTTTTATGGTAATAAGTCCGGACTCGGTTCTTGACTTTTAGGTTTTTTTGGACTTGAACCTAAACATTCTTACAAGTCCAGATCCAAGTCCAGTGAACCGGTATGCACCACTACATGTAGTGTTGACTGGTTCTCTCAGTTATTCAGTGATGCTGGAGAAGAGTGGTGGATGTCACTAGAAACATCCAGAAGTAATCTCCGTTATTCATCCAGTAATAGAGTGAATTGTCTTTGAATATTCCGGGATTGTGACTAGACATCAGCTGTAGTGTACATGTACATGGGGTGTATCATCCCAGCTCTAACCACAGCTAATGTCAGCCTGCTAACTCACTGACAACGAGTATGAATTATGGAGAAACAAATTTACTTTGTTCCAACACACACAAAGGTAGACTAATCATCTTTGTGGGGTCGTGTGGCATAGTGGCATGAGTTTGGCCCAGAACCCAAGGGTCTTTGGTTTGACTCCTGCGATGTAACCAGTCCTTGCTGGTAAAGACACAACTTTTCCACCTAGGTGTAAAATTGGTACCTAACTTTAGTGGAGGAGGTAAAAGATGGTGGAAGGAGAGGGTTGGACTTGCATGGCAAATTGGATGCTCTATGGCTGGCTAACTCACCTGGCCAGTTACATTCCTTTTTAGGCCAATCTCTACAATTCATTCAGCCTGCAAAGGAGTCCTGACTAAGCTGACCTTGCTCCCATCCTAACCATTGTACCATCAGTGTTTAAGTTTAGTTATACCCTATTTTTTGCTGATTGTAGCTAGTTGACATTTTGCTATTCATCTGTATTGTACAGATGTAGCTCTAAGCTAGGTTCTCCTGTAAGAGAGTGTGACTGTAAGAATACCAAGTCATGTCAATCAAGGACACAGCAAGTAAATTTTATGGATGACATCCTCCACAGACTCGAAATCTAATGCGATAGGGCAAAAAACAAGATTCCTACATTTTCACATTTAACATCATAAACCTTGTTAAACAAGAAATGATAGCTATATTGTGCTAAGTTTACTACCAATTGTTACAACATCCATTCTCACTGAAACAACTTGGAAAAATAAAAGTTTTTTCAATCATTGTACAAATGGTTTTGATTCAGTGGCCTTGTCTCCCCTCTTATTTATCTGCTATCCAATACGGCATGGCAAGACAGGCCATTTTACACATTTTCGGTATGTTGACCACTGCCACAAAATTTCTTGTTTTTTTTTCCAAAATCAGACGAAAATTTATGCATGCACTGATGTCATCCATAAAAGTTACTTGCTGTGGCCCAGCTACAAGTCTTAGCTTGGACAGTGGAATGTACATTGGATTACAGGTGTAGACATATGAACATATGGTCAATGCATGCATCTCTCTGAATTATTCTTTGCATCAAAGTTATCCTGCAACTGGTGTAAAAAACACTTATCATGCTAATATTATGCTCTATGCAGATTTATTTATTAAGGGAAGAATTGATTAAGGTGTTTATGTATCAGTTATTTGTACAAGGGATGTGTATTAAAGATTCTGTCTTAGCTACATTTTGTACTGGCTGGTACATGTCAAGGCATCCCTTGCAGCTTCTTGGCAGCAAAACTGGATTTTCAGAGTCAATTTTCTGTTCGTTCTTTTAATGTAGCAAGTCAATCCTATCCCACAACATACTGATAGCTTTGAGCTAGGCAAAATGAAATGCTGCTGACAGAAAACAGTTGCATGTTTTGTATGGTAGGCTAGGCTGGTTTTAACTATTTATGGGTGGTACCCAAAAAATAAAGAGATGCCTCACATACCTTGTTTCTGGGGCTATTTTAAGTACTTAAAGTATGGTATTATGCCAAAAATGTGCAAAAATGTCATTATAACTTAAGGCAGAATCCTTTTTTTTGTTTTCCCATGGCACCCTGAAATTGCATTGGATGCCTTTAAAGTACTAGTACATGTATGAGACTGACATTACACATGTGGTACATGCATGTATCTCTCTAGGTCCTGTGGTAATTAGCAGCCCGAAGGCCACACCAATTCAATCAATTGGTTTTTGATTTGCCTGCTTCATTTTTTCTCATTTGCACACAAAAATTAAGGTAGTAAAACATGTACAACTCAGAAATGCTCATATTTTGGCCACTACAGTTCAAGAAAGTCATTGTCTTGTTACAATCTTTTCCATGTATCAATGCAGCAGTTTGATTTAAAGTTCAAATTGTTTCATCTATAAACCAGTCTGGCATGTTGACTATGGTATAGCATTTAGGGCTATCATAGGTTGTCTAGGCCTGTTTTATTTCTGCCCCACTTCATTTTTTTCTGAAGAAATCGGAGAAACAACCATTTTAATTGGTGTGGCCTAGACTCTTCACAATTACAATTTTATAAGTGCCAATATGGAGCAAAGTGTGATGCGGAGCCAGTTGAATTAATTTCCTGTGTTAAAAGATTGATGTATAAAGTAAGAGATAGGGGAATTCTTTTTACACAACCAAAGAAGCTCACCTCGCTGACGTTTCGGTGTCTGTCAGACACCTTCTTCAGAGCTTCTGACTGGAGTACTGCATCTTGCCGCTATATGTAGCCGATTACATTGTGCTATAGTTACATTGTCAAAACAATTCTATTGAACTTGTACAGTTTTAGTCGTTGTCAGCGAATATTTATCAAGTATTGTCCAGAGTTTGTTTTTAAAGAAGCTGACGGAGCGAGCTGTACGAGTATCGATCGCCAGGAAGAGCATTCCAGATGGTGATTGCTCTGTTCAGAAAAGTTATCTGGGATCTGGTAGTCTTACAAACGGGGATGGTTAAATGTTCACTGTTAATGTTCCTCAGAGATACTGGGATTCTGTGGCGGACGCTCGCGCTCGAGATAGTAGACTTTGCAGGTGTGGAGGACAGCGACCGTTTAACAGCCTGTTTGTAACGTTACATGGTTTACAGCAGTGTGATATCTCGGTAGATGGGCATTATCGGGAGAACAGAAGAACTTGTCTCCAACACTAACCTTCGCCAGTCAACAAACCAGTCTCCAGTCTCCCAGAAAATCCGAGCTGCCCGACTGCGTCTCTTCGGGCACATCGCCAGATCTTCACCGCCCCTAGAACCAGCTAAACTGCTGCTGGAACCGACACGTATCTGCAAACTGCGGTTGGATACGGACCCGACCCAGGTGCAGGCCTAGGCAGAAGTGGCTGGTCGGACCTGATCCTGCAGGACACAACTTTACCACAGCCTGGAAATTAAGCAGCGAGAACAGAAGCCCCTTGAGGACTGTTGCCGGGGCACTACGCTCCTAGGGGCAAGCGACCTTGAAGAAGCTAAAGATGAAACTCAAATTACAATATTTTGCGTGTGAAATTCCTATATCATTTAGCAATTTTTCATTTGTACATGTCCTCATTAATTTTGAAAATGACCTCCACATTAACACAATAAATGTACATGTATAGTAACATGGTATAAAATCCCCATTATTCACCAATCTGGAATTACAGAATTTTCACATTAATTATGAAAATTAGGTCATTATTAGCATATAATTGGTATCTGTTGATTTTCCATCTGCCATAGATAACGTATAAAAGTCAATAATTAGTTACTAGTTGTTATATCTCAATAAAGTGAAATTTACTTTTTTTTCTTGTTGATCCGTTTTTTATATATTTTTAAAGACAAAAATTGTATATAGGCTTCAATTTCGTAGCTACATGTAACGTTAGTGCGTATGGTGTAGCGTCAATTTTCAGTCA